GATCCGGGATCACCCGGATCTCTGGGGGTAGTTCGTTCCAGAGGGTGGGAGCTCCCACCGAGAAGGCCCTCCCCCTGGAGGTCGCCAGCCGGCACTGTCTAGCTGACGGCACCCTGAGGAGACCCACTCTGTGGGAGCGTACCGGCCGATGGGAGGTAATCTGCGGCAGAAGGCGGTCTCGGAGATATCCAGGTCCGATATCCATGGTCCGATGCCATGGAGAAACAAAGCACTGATGACAGGGCCTGCTGAATTGTACAAGGGGAGAGCTTTAAACTCCCAACAGAACAGCCCCCTGCTAGATTGGAGAGTTGAGACTGGATTCCAGCACCACAGCATTCAACTAATTCGGCTACAGAGGATGACTGAGTAACTGACTGCTATTTTTCATCTGGTCTCTTGCAGTAGAACAAAGCCGGTAGCCTTGAGTTCACGGAACCCAGAATGGAACAGGAGGTTGAGCGCACATCCCACGTCTTCTGCTGAACTCAGATGAATATCTTCTTGAAAAGATACGCTATGCAAAATGTAGGGATGTTGGTTCTTAACGTGGAGTCTTACAAAGTGCCCAGATGGTATTTTTGCCTCAGCTCAAGCCTGGGGGCTTTTTTTAATTAGATGTTTCTATTTTCTGAATAGTCAGCCCCTGGGGCTATGTTTCATAAATAAAAATTTAAAATAACTTTTTTCGGCCTGTCTTAATGCATAATGAATCTACTGGTTACAGAAAACACACACACATAACACATTTCTTGCTTGCTTGCTTCTTCCGCTTTCTGCGGTCTCCAACCTTCATTCCCTTGACCTACTTGGAGTGCTTTCAGGACAATCAATTTACCTGGTGTGTGTTGGGCTTCTCTCTAGTATGTACCTTGTCTAGTCTTCAGTTGGTTTCAGGTTTGCTTGAGGCTACGTGTTATTAAATACACCAAGATGGGAATGGAGGTCCTCAAGAGGCTGCCAGTTTTGAGAAAGAGGTATATTCAGGAGCGCTATCTTAGTACATGATCTTTCTCTACTTACATCTACTTAGGCCTTCCATTATGGAAGTACCCAAATACTGAACTGCCTGTTATTTACTTCTTTAGAAAAATAGCAAGACTTGCAATTTCAAAATAACAAAAGATGTTGTATAGGAGGACAGCTGTGTGGTAGGCCCAAATCACAAGCACCTTTTTTAAAGTAAAGAATGTTGCTGAAAGGCATTTAGCTACAGCCCACTTATCAGATGCATGGAGTGGCTAAACTGATGTAGGATTTAAATTGGGATAAGAAGGGGAAGAGGAAGGGAAGATGGTGATTATGCAGATTATATGCGAGTCAGATTACATGCCACTCTTTCGAAGACAGCAAAATCCACATTTTGGACAGAGAGGACCGTTGGTTATTGAGAGGTCAGAGGCCATCTATGTCAAATCTGAACAGCCCTTTCTCAACACGGGGAGGGATATGACATCATCTATCTCCAGTCTAGAACACAGTCCTTTCAACAGTTCCAAGAAGGCTCCATGCCCCTTTGCCCCTCAGGTGATCCTGATGACCCAGATAAACCTCCAGGTGGCATCAACAACTCTCTAAAAGAATGCAAATGACCAGCTGCCTGCAAGGAGCATATTATAAACCCTTCCATTCCTCACCATCTAGTCAGAGCTGAAGAAGCTTCTTGGATGAGAAGTGAAATGTCTTCAAAGAAAAACGAAGTCCAGTTGCCTCCTGAAAAAGCGCCTTTGGGATAACTATGACCTGGATGACTGAGAATCTCCATAGACAGACTTCCTAAGATAAATTGGAAATTTCACCAACATTTTAACCATGGATGTTGAGGCAACTACATCATCCTCCACAAATTTGGACATCAAGCTATCATGTTTTGCCACTGACTGATTGTATGTTGCTACATGACATCACCTTTGACAACATATCTTCAGTCAGCAATATTTGAAGGTATATTACATACATGGCTTCACATTTGTGAACATCTTCATGTCTGACGTAGTATACCTGCTCCTTTTAGTTGAGATTCATTGAAGACGTTTAAACATCTGGAGCCTTGGAAATGAATAATCGAATTTTTCCCCATCTATTAAAAAAATCCACTTTGTTGTCATGATAAAAAATAATGGATGCAAACAATATATTATTTAGGAACCGATAAATCACTATGTCTGCTGCATGTCTCCAGTTTCCACCCAGAATATAGTATTGAATATATCTATTGGATCTACATTACAATTCCATTTGTTCTGGCCAACTTGCAGAGATGTGCAACTGATGGATTAAACTGGACATTCTAAAGATAATTCACCTAAATTCAGTAGACAACTCAACAGAGCCACATCAATCCCCAGGGAAAATGTATTAAAATACTACAAAAATACAACATCACTG